AGAGAGAGAGAGAGAGAGAGAGAGAGAGACAGACAGAGAGAGGAGGGGGAGGGGCTGATTGGGTTACTCATAGCCCCAACTGTACCTCCACAAACATTTACAAAATACACTACGGTGGCCGAAGGTGAAGTCCAAAACCCATAGACTTGTACATTAAAGTATTGCTGCACAAGTGCAGTGGAAATTGCCTAAGGCGGTGTCCCAGTAAGGAGAAGAGTGATCGTCTTACACAGTGGCATTATGATTTTTTAAAAAAACATAAGGGGAATATGGGGAATTGCGTTTGTACAGGTTGTTAGTGTCTTACAGATTTTCGTTAACCGCAGCTTCGACTGCATATTTGTCTTAAACATACAATTTAACCCTTTATTGCCATAGCTTAACATCACTACTTTAGAATTAAAAAGTTCTGTCTGATACTTTTGGCCGGTTTGGGTTACTAAGAAAATAAGTCAGAAACCAATGTTATATCTGCCCTATCAAAGTCGTAAGATTATTCGGCGAGTCGTTATCAAGATAATCAAAGAATTGCTTTCGAAAAAGCTTGACATGTTTGGAAAATCAAAACTTTTGACGTCAAATTTTTCCATACAAGTGTTAGGTCCTGAGCAGAAATAACTTAGTAATACTGAGGTAGCGATAGTATGCAATGGAACATTACTGAACAGACTCAACGTGCCAGTCTGTTGCCTATACACACACCGTGCGCAGCTAAAAAAAAAGCGTGATGATGAGCAAATCTGTCGCACTGTCACATACACGTAGAATGGCAACGGTGTGCAGTACTTACCTAATAGACGCTTGTTTATTAAGAACGACAGCGATATGGTGCGGGTGGTTGACGGGTGCTCTGGTGTGCTTTACTCCTTCATTCCCGTGAAACATCTTTCGTCCCTATTTCTCTATCTTCTTTTCTTTGTAATCCACTCTCTTGTAATGCCTTTAATCTTCGGCACTTATGTGACCGTATTGTTGTAAAACTCGTACTGAAACTAAATCGAAACAATACACCAAATGAAAAAATAAAGCATATGACAAACGCCTATGATTTGTAGGTTGTCAGCCTGGGGTATCAATATGTCAGCACTTGGGAAGTTGTCGTAACGCCAGAGACGGAAATTTCCTGGAATGCGCTTGTCCACCTTCGAAGAAATGGATAGGAACATATTGTGAAATAGGTAAGACAGCAGCGCATTCATTTCCTCTGTCGTTTTCTGAAACTTTCTTTTTAAAAAAAGAGAGTTTTATTTTTTAAATGGTGGTGGATCAACAGCCGACGGCTAATTTTAAGTTGTTGTAGTTGATGTTGTTGTTGTTGTTATCGATCCAGCAACAGCTGGGCTCTCGTCCATCTGACCAGTGCCATGTAATGATAAGTGCAGGTTTGCTGCAGTTGCTGTATTGTTCCATAGAGTGTGTTGTCAATGTTATGTCTCGGAGGCAGAGAAGGGTAGGCTAATTTTAAGATAATTGTAATGTTCCTTATAATTTCTTTCGTCTAGATTCGAGCTAATCACAAATCCGTGTATATAAGAATCTGTTGTCATCATTTCATTTTAAGAATATTCCTTACGATGTATTAAATGCAGAGGCACACAGTAGTCGTCTACAAGTTTTACCTTAAAATAAACATTGATTAGACAAGGAACAATGTAATTGGATTCCCCGTGAGGGAATGGGTTTTTTGTGGAGGGGCGGGGTTATTTTTCCCCTTTTTAATCGAGTATCTCCGTCGATCAGGATCTGCTGAGACTAACCCTCTCAATCCGGGATGGTCCTGACAGGTGGTGCCCAAGCAGCCCGCTTCCTAAATGATCTGTATTGCGTCGATGAAGAAGTCCACTTTTAAACAATGATATCCTGCCCTCCATGAGCCCGATGTACGGGACCCAAGCCAAGCACTATAGATCTATATCGAGGCTCATAAGCCGGGGATGTAAAGCGTCTACAATGACCCCTGAATACATTCTCTCGTTTCTTTGGGTTTCTTGTGTGCTTTTTAAAAATAATTTTTCTTAAAGGGGAAAGGGGGGGGGGGGGAGAGATTTCACGTTGTGTTAGTTTGCTGAATTCTCTCTGTACGCGACGCGTATCACGATATCCTTATTAGTTAGACATTGTACCGAACCCATTCTGTATTCTAAAACATGTTGGGTTTCTTTTTTTATTTTTCTAATTTTCTTTCTCTTTCATAATTTTGAAGGGGTGGAATGGGGGAAGGGGGGGGGGTTATATTTTAAATGATTTCATCGGTAAAGCGATGTATGATGCAGAAGATGTTGTACATTCTTAAAATTAAAACTCAAGATCTAGACTTTCTAACCACGCCCCACGAACTCCAGTACATGTGTCGGTCTCACCCTCTTCAGCATTCAATCCCTTATTAATTACAGAAAATTTTTGCCTTGACTGGAAGTGCGAAAATGGCGGCATTTGTGAAAACGAAAAAACGAAAGCAAAATGTAACTGTTCTGGCATGTGGGGAGGAGAGAACTGTACCATAGGTGAGTACTTGAAAGCCGTGGTCACGTGATCCATCCTCCCTTTGCCCGCCCTCTTGTGAGCAATGATTGCGTCCCAGGCCCATGTGCCTTATTCTGCTTTCATGTGTCATGTTTGTTCCAAGAACGCTCCTGCCAGGCTCCGCCCATCCCAATTCCTGCCACGCCCACTCTGGACGCATTCCAAGCTCCTACAGAGCCCTTTTCATCATGCTTTTTCTTAGCAGTATTTGAACTTTATTTGGGCGCGCGCGCACGCACACACACACACACATACACACACACACACACACACACACACACACACAC